AGTGGCTAATGAAGAGAGTGCATCGCAATAGGTTGAAATTGCTTACCGTAGCGTGGAGTCGAAGCAATGGGCAATCCGACGCATGCCTGCAAAATCGAATGTAAGGTGTGTGGGGATGCTTCCGAGGGGCAAGTGTTGAGCCTGGATTCATGGTGAAAAATCTACTTCTATTCCAGCCCCATGTTTCTATGGGGAACGAAAGCAAGCAAGATTTTCAAGATGGTGCTGGCTATATTGTTGCAACATTGACACCAACCATACGAAGCGGCTTGAAGACACTATAGTGACTAAACCTGATGCAATAACTAAAGAATGGCTGGTTGCTAATGGGGTCGCGCTCACCTCGGATGAGATTGAAAACCTTGAGAAATCTGGTTTTAATCTTGAGAGGAGAGTTGGAGACATGAGTGACAGGAGCAGGACTATTCCTACAAAGATGCATAGGAGGCCAGCACGAAAAGGTAAGGCAGTTAAATTTATTGGTACCATCTCCAAGCAGAAGTAAGGTAAAATAAACTTGGCTCAAACACTTGAGTGTGAGATTCTCTCCACAAAGTACATCATTGCGCTTGCAAAGGCGTACACAGTCAAAACAGAAGGTGGAGAGTACACAATTGCCATTCACGACTTTCCTTCTTGCACATGTCTAGACTTTACAAAGCGCGAGGAACATGGGAAGGCATATGCTCCTTGTAAGCATATGTACTATATCTTCATTAACATCTTGCACCAGGATCCTAAAGTGGATATTCATATACACCAAGCAAGCCTTACTATTGCTGAGTTGTAGAAAACTTTTGGAGCTAACTAGATTTCTTCAATATTATCGATGTTTATTCTCTATCAATAAAACTTATTATACTTTATATAATTAATAAAAATGTGCTTTTTCATTTCACTTTTCATTTTATATGCTTCCGAGTGTCCTTCTCGCAATACTACCCATAGTACTCGTATGTCTCCATTTTTGTCTTTACCATCTCAAAAAAGATTTCATGGTAGTCTTTCAGGTGCGTGATGTTGCAGTGTGTCGCAAGAGCATATATACCATCATACTGATCATTGCCATTGTTTCCACCAGATGCTAGAAAATATATGGGGCACTTCTTGAAAGTGGCAGAATTGCACTTTTCTAAAACAAGTAAGAGGGCATTCTTTTTCACCCAATTCGTTGCACCCTTTGTCATTGCATTTATCTCCAACTCATGATCACTATCTTCACTATCCTCTCTTTCATTCTCTTGTGTGATTTGGTTATGCTATGCAATAGGATAGTTATTGCATCTCCTAGCCCTTGAACCCTGGGAAGAAAGATTGTGAGAGTTAAAATTACCAACACTAGAACCCATAAACATTTGTGGGTGTATTTCCCTTTTTTCAAATGAGAGTGTGAATGAAGATTTTTAAATTCTAGACAGTATGCTATAACAAACCCCTCAAGAATGTATTCTACAAAGAACCAAGTCTTTCTTTTATATGCAATAAGCTTACATCAATGGTTATTTTTTTTCCTTTCAAACGGTTATATGGCTTTACATAGAATCTTATTTCAAATTTAATAATTTTTAAATTCTGAAAAACCTAACATTTACTAGCCAGAAAGCATAGAGTACAAATTTAAAGAAGTGACAAGAATACTCTTTTTGCAAACATTTTATTTTATGTTCTAACAAATGTCCCTATCATTGCATGTAGTAAAATTTTAAATTATTAGAACAAAAAGTGTTCTTTAGAACATTTTTATCTATATAATATATAGAGAGTTATTAAATTATTAGGTTCGCCATAACCTTAAAATTTTAAAATTTATAATGTTTGTACTAAATTACAATTGAAAATTGAGCTCAACTCATGAGCTCAAGTATGGTCTGCGCCCCTAAGAGTGAGTCCATCCTTGAGTAGTATATCGAGAGAGCATGGCTCTCCACTTTAGTTTATATATGAATATGTAAGTAATGTGATGGATAAAAAAAGGGCTAATAAGGGAATGACTCTAAGATTTTGGGAACAGTAAAAGGTTTTCCTCAGAGATTTAAGGATATTATCTATATAAACTAGTGCAATAATCAAAAGATAGGAGCAAAAGACTAATAGCTAAGAATGGATTATAAAAATTATTAAAAGGAATTCAAATGACAAGTTAGATAAGGAACACACATGTAGTAGATATCAATGAATTGTGGGAAAGGAAATATATTTCCAAAGATGGATTTCCCAAATGCTCCAATATGGTAAATGCAATAGCTCCAAGAGATGAAGCAGCAAATAATAAGGCCATGGATAGTCCTAGGATAAATTATGAATTAATGGAATTTAGTGTCTAAGGTGGCACAAAGTAAAAAAGAGGATGATGGTGCCCTCAATTAAAGGATTTTTTAGGATGGAGAACTAGAGTTTGTATCATATGTGCAATGCAAAATGTTGAAAATACTAAAGAAATTGACTTGAGAAGTCAACATCATAGTTTTAAAGTATGATGGTTATATTGATAGAGCCTAAGACTACACTGGAATAAGTAGTAAAAGTGAGATAGAGAAGGTGTCTCTAACAGGTTTAATAAGAACTAAATGAACAAAGGGAAAGAACCATTACATATGATCTAATGAGACTTTAAGTTGTAAAAACTATACTCCTTAAGAGATGGAAAAGGCATGGTGAGCCTTCAATGTTTAACCATTAATGAATATTGGCTTGGTGCTAAGGAAAATAATAATCCATGATGGGGTTACTTTATGAAATGGTTTATCATTCAATAAGGATATCGAACTTTGTCCATGAATGGTGGAATTGTGAGACACAAATCCTTAAACCCTAAAGTGGAGTTGAAAGGGTGTTATATGGTAATAGCCAAAGTAGAAGCTAAACAAATATAACATATTTGGACTAAAAACTTTGACTCAAAAAGTCAAGAGAAAAAACAAAACTTCCAACAAAGTGCTCAAGAAACAAGTATGAAGTGATTAATAAGCAACCCTCTAGAAAAGGGATACAAGAAGACTAGCACATAACATGTGGAATTGTCAGAACCAAGTCTGAGTACATATACAAGTTTTACAAAATTTTAATAAAATGTTAACCACAACATTCCTTACTTGATCTACTTTGACATATTTGGCTCCACATGAAATAAAAGGCTTCTAAAACAAACCTTAAATTGCATCATTAACTCAAATAGCCTTTAACAAAGACAATGCAATTGTTAGAAGGCATCATCACAATTGTTGACATATTCAAATATGCATTTGAAAACATTTGGGAAAATGCTCTAATTCATATGAGTGGTTGCATTCAAACTATTATACTATTGCAATGCCATCCCTTGAAAACACATGGGAAACTCATGCAAACATTAAACATCATCCCAAAAATAATATATAACAATCATTATAAAGTGATTGAACCAAACATAAGGATTAGTAGCAAGAGTAAAAGGAAATGTACCATGTGTATAAATACAGCCATGAATTGAGTTTTATTGTTCAGTTGCAATTGCATAGCATTGAACAACTACACCAACTACTACTCCAGAGTTAGAGGAGGAGGCTATTACTCTACCATGAAGATGAATGAAAAGGAAAAAGCAAAAAAGAAGACATTGAGAAAGAAATAAAGAAATAGAGATTTAAACAATGCAAAAGTTGGATTCCCTTGAGAAATGGAAAACACAAAAATAAATATATTTCAAATTACTTTATATCAATATATAATTGATATTAAATTGAATATCCTTCTCTCTCTAAAGAATATATATAAGATATCTAGATATAAATAGAAAATAATACTCTAAAAAAAATAAAAATATAGATAATGAAATGAATAAATATTGATTCTTTATTTGTAAGAACCACTTTATTAATTACTATTAACTAAAGTACTTCATAACAAAATAAACAAGATAAATTTTATAAAGTTAAGAAAATACTTTAAAGATAAAAAAGTTTTACATTTATAAAAGAAATTAATTATAAATTTATAATATATTTTTTATTTTGTTTTATTTTATTTTAAAATAAATTAAAAATATCTATTAAACTATTTTTTTATTATATATTAGCATAAGGAAAACAACTTTACATAATAAGTCATTTATATTTCATCTATCTTATAAATTTCTTGATGAAGTATTTTAAGCTGAAGATAAATATTTTTATAATTATTATATTTTTATTATTTTTTAGTTGTAATTCTATTGAAATTTTTATTATTAATAGAATAGGCTACTCAATTTATCCATCTTGTGCATCAAAAGATGATAATATAAACCCAGGTAATTTAAATGATAGACAAAGATTTTCATTCAAGTTTGCAACAAGATGGATTGGTCGAACTCAATTTTGGTGTGATTTTAAAATTAATAATGGACCTTATAAAGAAAATTTAAGAAGTTTCTCTGTTTATGTTCAAAATAGTAATAGTGAATATGAAGAATCTGAATATATAGAGTATTATATATTTGGATATGGAATTTTTGAAACTCATAAACATTATGGAAGAGAATGGTCTATACCTAAGAAGAGATTTAATTTAGAATTTTCATAATTTATTTATTTCTATATACTATTTCACTAGTTTAGATGTGTTAAATTTTCTAATTTATTCTATTTTATATTTCTATTTTAGTAAATAGAAAATCTTAGTAAAAATATTGTTAACCAGTTCTGTATTATTATAGAGTTTATTAAATAATTTATCATATTTAAAAATTGGTATACAAATCTTGTCTTATAATCTCAATATCCTGATTTATGATTGAGTTTACATACACCTCTAGCACTTTGAGATATTATTGACAATGAACTAGACATGGCTACATATCTACTCATAAACCTCTCATTTTTGAGGCTGGCTAATCACACTGAGCAAAAGGATTAGCGTCCAAATAAGCACGAACTAGATATCTACTCATGCTCTAATTGACAACCTCTCATTTCATAATGTTTATATGGATGGTACTAAGATACTAAGGTTCAGAGCATAATGAGCACACGAAAGCAAAAGGATTAGTGAGGCCGTCCAATGTTCTATTATCAAGCAATTGTAAAAAAAATTGTAATCTTACATTCACAAGAATTTATAGTGGTTTTGAAAGTACCTATTCAAACTTAATCCAGTGTATCTTACAATAACTTACTTAAATGTTGTTTAGGATGTTCTTGGATGAAGTCAGACGCGAAAATGACGCAATAAATCGGCTCTAAAACAAAACAAACGAGAAAGACAAAGTGAAGCTCTGCAGCATATCAGAAGTGTCGGAAGTTACCATTTGAAACACGACCATGGTCCACCAGCAGCTGCTTAGGCCGAAGCCAAGCTTGTGAAATACCTGTTCATGCAAATGTGTATGATTCTTAAACCAGGTGATGTTTGCTTTCTTACCAGCATAAGTACAGTTCGACACACAAAAGCAAATGCCATGTTAGGCCCCAGAAAATTCAAATCCCCACTAGCCTGTGAATGCCAACGTTATTTAAACCCGATAGTTATCTCAGTACATGCAAATTATACCAGAAGCGTCCCTTCGAGAGCGAGGGCTGGCGGAGTCAGCGCTATGCTGAAAAAGAACGGTGTGACGACGGTGTGCATCTGCAGCGCAGCAGAGTATCATATCAGTTCCATAGCATGATAATCATCGCCCACCTTTTCTATGATTGCGGAATCATTTGTAAAGAGCTGCGGAAGGAAGACTGTGGAATCGAAATGCCTACAACCGCTGAAGCTACTCCTAGAACCACACCACTGACGAGGAGCTTTTGTAGCAGCCTTCGTGCCTGCAAAGGATGGAGGAAAAGTTACGTCAAGAACACAAACGAGATGCATGAGACTTGCCTGTTTCTGTTGGCCACCACAAAGCAGTCCGGGCATGAAAGACTGTGCAGTCTGAGCCAGGGGTTCTCCCGAGACCGAAAACAATGAAAATACCCCAACCATAACCTGTCAGACATCTAAGTCAAGCGAAAATGAGTAACGAGGAAAAAGATGTTGTGATCGACCTGATGAGCAGCTAGAGTCACCGTGCCTAGTGAAGTTGCAAAAAATGTGATACTTGTGTAAAAAGCCACCTACAGGATATAATGTTAATGCTTTGGAGCTCGCTGTGTCACATTTACCTTGGACAACATCGTCAAAAGGACCGGACCCGTTATTTTGATCATTTGAGCGAGGTCTTCCATGCGAGGGACTTTGATCGCCAGGGGATCATAGCCCTTGTCTTTCAGTGACTTTAGCATCAGGAACCCTCCAACATACTGCAAGCACAAAGTATCAGAACAAGCTTTCAAAGTATATCATCAAGTGCTAGATAAGTTTGCGAACCTGCACTAGCATTGTCGCCCAGGCCGCACCAGCAATACCGTATCCAAGAAATGTGCACAGCAGGACGTCTCCTACAGCGTTGATGAGGCTTACGACTGCTAGCACTTTGAGAGGGCTTACCGAGTCCTGCATCCCCAAGCTAAGGAAAAGAAGAAGAAGAAGAACCTTAAAACGTTTGCATGGCTGATAAGAATGATCAAGAGTGTACATACCTTGCACCTTGCCCAACCATCGTAACCAGCACTGCTGGCCAAGCGAAAGCTCTAATCTGAAACATTGCTCAAGCCATAATTTCAGAACATAAACCTTTTGCGGATCTTACATCAACGTAGCACGCGGCCGCAGGAATAACCGCAGTGTTTCCCCCAACAAACGCTGCAAGAACACCGATTTTGCTATCGTCTTAAGAACACCTCGAGAGACGTACCATGAAGCATCGTTCTGGACAAAATCTTGATCACAGTGAACATCACCACGCCACAGGAAACCGCAACAAACAGAAACCTCGCTAGATGGTTTGCTGCTTCTGTTTCATCCTGGGATTTTATTTTATGTTCTAACAAATGTCCCTATCATTGCATGTAGTAAATATTTAAAATATTAGAACAAGAAGTG